TTCATGGGGAAGTGAATGAAGATGTTGCCTTGTATTAATTAGAAAAATATTCAACATCAGTCCTGGTCCTGGCAGGAAACAGATGACATAGTCAAAGTGGATAATGAAGGAAAGTGTGAGGGGAAGGCACCATTTACAAAGACGTGGGTGGGATTTAGGCAAACCTGCAAGGAATGGTATAGTATCCTGGGGCTAGCAACAGTGGGGAGCCCTGAGAGACAAGGAGAGAGAGAGAGCCCTGTACTCAGACAAAGCAAGAACTGTAGCTGTGGAAGCTGTGACCTTCAGAAAGGGAGAGAGACAATCAATGGCCCTCAGTAAGGAGGGGAGCCAAGAGAAACACTCTTCCCTTTGCTCTCCTGCCAGCACCTCCCACGGTGGAACTGAGCCAGGTGCTGGAGGGGACAATGTCATCCACACAGGCCAGCCATCCAGGGCACAGAGGAGGGTGGGAAGTGGATCCAGAGAGGTGATGGGAAGCATCCTCACGGGCACCCCTTTCCCAGGCAGACACAACCCTGGCTGCACACTCCTAAGGAGCCTTGCACAGGCTGCAGCTCAGCCTCGCTCTCTCCTGGGCCAGGTGCCCTTTCACAGGGCAAGACTTGTATAATCATATGTGACAGTCCTAACAGCCTTTGAGGACTATGCCCCTTTTCATGTGTAAAAATATTACAAGAGGATACCATGTCCCAAAATAAATAGAGAAAAATAAAACATTGCAAGCAGATGTCTCCACCAACCATGTTTCTATTCTTCCAATTTGGGTCCACTTTCTCCATGAGCCTTTTCTTCTCTTCAGCAAATGGCACAACCTTCCACCTGGTCACCTGAGGCAGAAACCTGCTATTGCTTTGACCATCTCCTCCTTCATCTTCCACATCCAAATGAATGGTCGCCAGCATATTGGGTCCCTGCTGGAAGTCCATCACCACCTGTTTATCCCTACTGCATTGCCACGGGCCTTTATCCATCTTCCCGGACTCAACACTATGATCATTTCCAAGCTGAGCTCCAGCTTCTGCATGTATCCAGCCCCACTTGGTCTTCCACTCTCTCGCGTCCCATGGCTGGAGGTATCTTCTAGACACAGAACGTTGATATCTCATCATTCCACTGCTTAACATCCTTCTCTGGCTTGCATTTTCCCAAAGGCTAGTTCAAATGCATGTGTCCACATGGAAGGCTCTTTATGGTCCTGCCCCATCAGGTCCCTCAGCTGCAGCCCGCTCTCACACCATGTCCCTGCCCTCTTCACTCCCCTTGCTCCTTAACACTGACCTTCTTGCAATTCCTCCAAAGCATCAGGCCTCCTCCCACCTCTAGACAAATGCCCAGGTTGTTCTCTCGCCTGAAATACCCCTGCCCCTCCACTCCATCCAACTAAAGTCTACTTATCCAGCAGGCTTTTGGTGAAGTATCTGTTGTTGTTGTTGTTTTGAAAACTGCATTGGCCCTCTTTCTCTTCCCCTGCAAGTGGACTTAGGCACCTTTCATTTGCACCCATTCTCTACACTCTGCGAACACTCTCGTATGCCTCTCTTGATGCCACTGTGTTCTCACTGTTAATCTCCTTTTCTGTCACCCTCGCCATCCCTGTAGCCCCATGGCCTAGCACATGCCTGGCTCTGCCTATTACAGGATCTGTAAGGGCTTACTGACATGAAGGAAGCTGTAATGAAATGAAAGCTTCCTAGGTTGGTGCTGTCTGACCTCTGTCCAGTTAGTCTATGATCATGGTGGCTGTTGATTCTGTCAGCACGCTGCACCTGTTTGATTCTTTATGACAGAATGTAATTTGCCTTGCTCTGCTTTCATCACAGTTTATATGCTTTTAAGGCAAGAGAACCCCATTTTCTGATTTCTAAAGATTTCCCACCTAACTTCTGTTCAAATATTTTGTCAAACAATGGCAAAAGCCAAAGATGATTAAGCCCATGAATGGGGTAACATTGCATAGGCAAATAAACCTTCCCCTAGCTCTCTCTTTCAAAGGCATGGCCTCAATAAATTCTTCAAGAAAGCTACTTTAATAATGTCTTTTCTGCCACTATGTACCTCATTTGAATCTACATGAATGTGGAACAGGCTAGGGACATGTGAAACATATTAGGTAAATCTTACGTTGGTAGGAACCTTGGGTAAAGAGCTTGGGATACCTCTGTATTTGCTCCTTCACGCTTCTTACTTAGTAACTCACATAACTCACTTTTATTTTTTGTTTAACAGTGTGTTAGGCACTTTTCTAGTTATATAAACCAAAGGTCACTTTAACGGCAATAACGATTAGAATTTGCAGTTTATAGAACACTTCCACAGAAAGCATCTCTCCTAATTCTCAGATGCCTATGAGGCAGATATTATTATTGTCTCTATTTTGTAGATGTGGGTTTTAGACACCTCAATTTCGAACCTTCTCATCTCGCCTCTTACTCCAGTCATGACCTCATCAACTTGTTCCACACAGGATTGCCGACCTTCACACAGGGCAGCTGGACAGTGTGTGTGGACCTGGTCCACACTCCTGCTTTTTTTTTTTTTTTTTTTTTGAGATGGAGTCTCGCTCTGTCGCCCAGGCTGGAGTGCAGTGGCGTGATCTTGGCTCACTGCAAGCTCCACCTCCCGGGTTTACACCATTCTCCTGCCTCAGCCTCCCGAGTAGGTGGGACTACAGGCGCCCACCACCTCGCCCGGCTAGGTTTTTGGTATGTTTTAGTAGAGACGGGGTTTCACCGTGTTAGCCAGGATGGTCTCGATCTCCTGACCTCGTGATCCGCCCATCTCGGCCTCCCAAAGTGCTGGGATTACAGGCTTGAGCCACCGCGCCCGGCCCACACTCCTGCTTCTTGCCCTGAGGTGTCCCTGATACTTCATGTAGGCTCTTGTTGCATCCACTGGACACTCATATCTTGTACAACTTAGAAATGGAGAGGAATCGTGCCCATGTGGGCTCCTTTAATCAGTGGAGGATGGGCCAATATATAAATGTTTCCCTCTGTCATCTGAGGCCCATTTCACATGGCTCCTTCCAAGGCCAGTAGCCCCTCTGTCTATAGCGGTGGCCAACTCCACGGCACATCTTTGCATTGCCTCCTCCCTTTTCCCTGTTCCACTTCCCATCTCTCACGCCTACTCCTTAGGATCTCTTCCCAAGTAATCTACTTGCATACACGCCTTAACACCTCAGACTCTACTTTCAGGTAACCCAGATTGAAATATTTGCCAAATATCCCAGGGTTTAAGTGGAAGACTGGCATTCACTTTAAGGTTTTTCTGACTCCAAATTCCACGTGCTTTTCTCTTTATCCTCCTTGCATTGAGAGAATTAATAGTCTGTGTGCACAGCTTAGATATATAAACAACTACAAAACAGAAGTATCAAGTCAAAACTAGAAGCTATAACTTTGGAGCACAGAGAATGTATTGATTCAGTTGAGGTGGGTGTGTGGGCTGGTCAGAAAATGTTCCACAGAGTAGGTAACCACGAGGCCTCTCCGAATCATAGTCTCTATAGTCAGCGCCATCTGTTATTTCCTCTCAGAGTCATTTTCTTCTTAGCACTTATGACAATGTGTAAGTAAACATTTATGTATATTTGTTTATTTTCTGTCTCTCCTGTGAGGGCCAGGAGCGTTTCTGTTTTGTTCACAGACATGTGAACACAATATCCACGGCACCTAGTGCAGCACTAAGGACATAAGTGGCAATCAATAAATCAACAAGTCAAAAAATGAATCACAATTAACAAATAAGAAAACTTGTTCCTGAATGAATAAATGAATAAATGAACGAACGGCTTTAGAAACAGCATAAACAAAGTCATGAAAGAATATGAAAATATGGCAACCTTCAGAGAATGCCAGTGGTTGGTTATTTTGGTTTTCTTTTGGTTATTTGTTTAGAAGGGTGAGGAGACAGGGAGTGGCTGTAGAAAATACATCTTACAGTAATATTGAGGTCGTAGAAGTAACCTAGCCACATTCTTTGTATTGGGAGATAAGATGGCTTCTGTGTGGTAACTGGTTATATAACGTGAGTTCTCAAGTGTCTGCCGTTGCCTGTATGAAGTGTGCTTTCTTCTCCACTAGGGAGTTGGGATGGGTGTTGGCAAGGCCTGACCTTGTTTACAGTGTGGGATCTTGAATTCCTGGTTTGTCTTGATGTGATCTAAGCTTGGATTATGAACTGTTTTTGTCACCTGTTGCGTCTTGTGAGGTTGAACATTGGCAGATCCTGTCCTGAGTCTCACACTGGCCATACTTCTAATTCTGCCAACATCCAAGTATCAGTTTCGGAGCCTTACTGCCGTCACTTTCTGCCTTGCCTTTCTCATCCGAACTCTTAGGCATTTAACATCACCCTTCAGAGCCTTCATAACAATACAAGCCAGTGTGGGATGCTTTTTTATTCATTTGATCATGCATATATTAATGGTATATTATGGACCAGGTGCTATGCCAGGTACAAATCTCTCTTGGTTGACTCGTGATTCTAGGAACTCTGCACTGTTCACCTGCTTTGCTCATTGGGCTGATGATTGATCAATTCGTCATTGCATTCTCTCAGCCCTGGTTTGCTGAAGTGGGCTTATTAAGCCTCAATTCCATTCCTGTGGACTACATGTGCTTAAGGACCCTGATACAAATCTATTAGACAATGGAAGAACTATTTCCCTGATGTCCTGCTTTTAGCACAACTTAAAAAAAATCAAGATATGGCTGCTGTCCACCAAGCTTCTGACAGTTTCTCTTTGCATTTGCAAAAACCCAGTTATAAGTGAATAGCCACCTGTTCCTTCTTGGCTCCCTGAGAAATAAGTTTATATACTTGGTGTACTGACATTTCAGGAACCAACAAAACTCACCTTTAACACTTTATTTTTAGTGTCTCTGCGTTTATATTTAGAAGGAAGGAACTGCCATGTCTGCAGAAGCATCATGCCTGCAATGTTTACTGGATCATGGGGGCGGGGGGGGGGGCCATGAGGCAGGAAAATGAGCCATGTGTGTAACTCTTTATTTATTTCCTGGAACTGGTGACACTGCACAGGTGCATGTACCACAAGATACAAGGACAGAGTGAGAGTCAGGGTTGGCCTTCAGTTGTTTAGAACTGGCCATCCACCAAGGCCTCCTAGTTGGCACATGTCTGCTCCTTGACTTAAGGGCTCCTAAGAGAAACAGCAAGTAGAAAATCGCAAGGACTGAGATGTTCACTGAAAACTGAATTACTCCCACCCTAAAACCTGACACATTTTCGAGTTTCTACAAAACATGTAGATAAATATTTTGTGTCTACAGGCACTTAACATTTTTTAAAATAAGCAATATATGCATGTAGTATAAAATGCAAAGGGAAGCCAGGCATGGCGGCTCACACCTGTAATCCCAGCACTTCGGGAGACTGAGGTGGGTGGATCACCTGAGGTCAGGAGTGCGAGACCAGCCTGACCAACATGATTAAACCCCATCTCTACTAAAAATACAAACTTAGCTGGGTGTGGTGGCACATGCCTGTAATCCCAGCCACTTGGGAGGTTGAGGCAGGAGAATCGCTTGAACCCAGGAGGTGGAGGTTGCAGTGAGCCGAGATTGCAACATTGCACTCCAGCCTGGGTGACAGAGTGAGACTCTGAAAAAATTTTAAAAAATGCAAATGGAATAATTTGTAGCATATAGCATAGGCAAAGGGCTAACATTTTGATTACAGTTTGAGTAAATCTTATCCAAAATACTTGAGACCAGAAGTGTTTCATATTTTGGGTTTTTGAATATTTGCATATACATAATGAGATATCTTGGGAATGGAACCCAAGTCTAAATACAAAATTTATTTATGCTTTATATGCTGTTTCTATGCATAGCCTGAAAGTAATTTTATATGATATTTTTAGTAACTTTTTGCACCCATCAACAAAGTGAGGTGTGGAATTTTCTACTTGTGGGGTCATGTTGGTACTCAAAAGGTTTTCAAAGTTTGGGGCATTTCAGATTTTGGATTTTCAGATTAGGGGTGTTCAACTTGTATTTAAAAACTCTTTAACAAGAGCTAAAAGTGGATCTACCAGTCGATTCAGCAATTCCACTACTGGGTATCTACCCAAAGGAAAAGAGGTCATTATATGAAAAAAACACCTGCACATTAATGTTAATAGCAGCACAATTTACAATTGCAAAGATGTGGGACCAACCTAAGTGCCCATCAACTAATGAGCGGATAAAGCAAATGTGGTATATACATATACCATGGAATACTAGTCAGCCATAAAAAGAAATGAAATAATGTTTTTTTCAGCAGCTTGGATGGAGCTGGAGGCCATTATTCTAAGTGAAGTAACACAGAAGTGGAAAACCAAAAACTATGTTCTCATGTATTAGTGGGAGTTAAGCTATGAGTATGCAAAGGCATACAGAGTGATATAATGGACTTTAGAGATTCAGAAGTGGGAGGGTGGATAGGGGACTAGGGACAATAAACTACATATTAGGTGCAATGTACACTACTTGGGTGTCGGGTGCATGGAAATCTCAGAATTCACCGCTATATAATGCATTCATGTAACAAAAACCACTTGTATCCCAACAGCTATTGAAATAAAAATTTTAAAAACAACTCTTTAACATTGAAGGACAAAGGAGAAAAAGTTGATTTAAAAAATAGGCAAAAGATATAAACAATTCAACAGATATAAATATATCTTTAAACATTACAAGATATTCAAACTCTGTCATTATTAGATAAATGCAATTTATAATATCACTTTTAAAAATGCTACCTTTGAATGTTACCATTTCGTAACTATTAAATTTGTGAAAATTTAAAAAGCATGAACAAGAGCTTTTGGTGAGACTGTGGGGAAACAGATACTTTCATGCATTGGGATGGCAAATTGGTAGAGCCCATATGAAGGAGAAGATGGCAAGATCGAACAAAACTACATATGCACTTACCTTTGACCCAGAAATCTCACTTCTAGGAATCTATGCTGAAGATACATTTCTAAGAGAGGAAAAACACATTTGCACAAGTTTATTCATCTCAGCATTATTTTAAATTATAAAATATTGAAAACAACCTAGATGCTCATACATAGGAGATTAGTGGAATACACAAAGAAAGATTCACACAAGGGAGTACCCTGCAGCTGTATAAGTAAATACAGGAGATCTCAATGATCTCATATGGAGAGAGTTCCAGAATACATTGCTAAATGGAAAAGACTGGTTATACTAGTGTGCTACTGTTCATGTAAGAAAGCAGAAGAAATAAGAGCATATATATGTATTTGCCCAGGTATGCAAAAATCAATACAGGAAGAATAAGTTTGAAACTAAGATTAGTCACCTGCAGAGGGTAGATGAGAACAAAGTGGAAAATAACAAGGAATGGCAATACAGTGTAAGAGATAAAGGGGTTCCACATCTGCGTAAGCTTTTCTGTCAAGTTCTGACTTTCAGAATCATAACAATGTTTCACACCCTAAAAATAAAAAAATGAATTAACAATACAAATCAAAATGAAAATACAATAAAAATATTGTAGGGGAAATCCTAAATTAAATACATCAACAAATAAATCTAATTGAATTACAAATGAATAAAATAACCACAATAAAGAGGTGGGAAAGAAAAGAACTACCTTAAGTAACTCTGGAAAATGGTATTTGGCTGTATTTTAAAAAGCTAAATTACAAAAGAACTGTACACAAACATTATATATTCTAGTTTGTAAGTTTGCTTTTCACAGAACTCTGGATTAGCAATTCTGAAGCTATTTTGAGTATTTTAAGATCGAGCAAATAAATAAAATAGTATGAATAACAAAAACCAATTTTCTCACTGTTACAGAATATAATAAGATTAGGGGAAATAAGAGAATAAACTATTGGGAGATTAGAAGTAGAGATATCAATTTGAACTTGGGATCAATATGAACTCAAATCTGTGTGTGTGTGTGTGTGTGTGTGTGTGTTTGTATGCATCTATATTCTTAGCTTTATCTATGTTCTAAGGACTAGGAGTAATGACACACCAGTACCAACTAGCACATTCAGTAACCATATATTGGTTTCTAAACATCATTTTCCTGTAAAAAGAAATAATGATCCTTGGAGAAATAGTTAATTCCAGGTCTGAGTAGGGCAGATGAGCCTGGAATACCTTGTAGTGCCAGAAAACAAGGTAAGGAAGTACTCAAAATATGATAAGAACATGCCAAAAGGACACACTGGCCAAACTCAAGGGGCTTCCAATGGTCAAATATGAGATAATTTGGGTAACAAAATAAATGTCAGTAGTAAGAGATTGTAACAAACAGAATAAAACAAATATCCCTGAATCCATATTGATATAAATAATTGAATAAGTAATTAAATTGGGGAGGAAAATCTGTTTCTCACAATTGAATTCTTTTTTTCTTTTTTTTGAGCCAGAATCTCGCTCTGTCATCCAGGCTGCAGTGCAGGCTGGAGTGCAGTCCAGTGGCACAATCTTGGCTCATTACAACTTCCGCCTCCTGGGCTCAAGTAATTCTCCTGCCTCAGCCTCCTGAGTAGCTGGCACTACAGGCAAGTGCCCATCAACTAATGAGCGGATAAAGCAAATGTGGATACTATGCCCAGCTAATTTTTGTATTTTTGGTACAGATGGAGTTTCATCATGTTGGCCAGGCTGGTCTTGAAATCCTGACCTCAAGTGATCCACCCGCCTTGGCCTCCCAAAGTGCTGGGGTTACAGGCATGAGCCACCATGCCCGGCACTCACAGCTGAATTCTAATTTATAAGAGCAGAAGGAAAGATGAAAATAGAAATTACTAGTTGACAAACACCACAGTATTAATTGTAGGCAAGAATCATCAATATATCCTAAAATGACTGGGGTTAATATTCTGAGAAAAAAAATATTTGCATAGCCTCAAAGTATATCCCCATGAAAGAGAGAAAGTAATAACTTCATAGGGGAGAAACCCCACCTTAACCATGATCAAAGATAAGATCACGAATCACAAGACATATTGATATCACATAACCTCCTGATATGATGCTCTGAGAAGACACAATGCTGCTTTTGTGGTATTCTTGCCAAATACATATAACCTGAATTTCATCAGAAGAAAAATCAGACAAACCCAAATCGAATACATTCTATACAATAACTAAATAGTATTCATCAAGGTTATGAAAGACAAAGAAAAGCTGAGGAATTATCCTAGATGGGAGGATACTAAGGTGATATGAAAACCTGATTCTGGAACAGAAAAGGACATTAGTAGTTCAAGTGGAGAAATCTGAAGAAGGTCTGTAAATAGTTAATACTATTAAGGTTAATTCCCTATAATGTGGTTATAAAAGGTGTTAACATTTGAAAAGGAAGCTAAGAATTCTTTGAGCCTGGTGCAGTGGCGTGTGCCTGTAGTGCCAGCTACTTGAGAGACTGAGGAGGGAGGCCTGCTTGAGCTGAGGAGTTCAAGTCCAGCCTGGGCAACATAGCAAGACCCCATCTCTAAAATTAAAAAAAAATTCTGTGACATTTTTTGCAACTTTTTTGTAAGTTTGAAAATGTTTCAAACTGCAAAGTTGAAAAGTTAAAAAATGTATTCCTTTTTAAAGGAAAAAAAGGGTTTACAAAGTTCCCACCAACATATTCTCCAGGAATTGAGTTTTCTTCCCAACAAATAGCTACCCTTAACAGTGTCTCATACATTCTTTCAAAGGTTTTCTATATTAATATATGTATGTTCATCATATGTGTTTATACATGTATATATTAGAGATCCTCCCAAAGAAGTATGTCTCATTTTTAATGGCTATATTATATAGATTCTCTATATTACATACACTAATTTAATTAGCAATACTTATGACATTTCTAATATTTTGGTATTATAAAAATACTGCAATGAATGCTTCATTTCCTATATGAACTAGTACTTGCAGTTGTAGCGCAAACTTCGAGAAGTGGAATTTCTGATTCAAAGTGTATAAAAATTTTAATTTTTGTTGACATGGCCAGTTGGTCTCCATGGGTGATGTACCAATTTATATTCCCACTGCCAGTGTAGGAGAGTGCTTTTCTTCGTGCTGTTATTAACACAGTGCATAAAATGATCTCTGCCAATATGATGGGTGCAAAACAGTTTTTATATGCATTTCTCTTATTGTGAATCAAGTTAAGGCTTATTTCATATATGTCAATTCCATTTGTGTCTGCTTTTCTGTGAACTGTGTATTCTTATACTTTGATTATTGAAGGGGGGTGATTATTGATCTTCCTTTGCATTATTTCCTAATTTAACGACAAACTGGAAAAAAATCCATTTATTGTATTCATTTAGTAGATAAATAAATAAAGGCTCAAGAGGGAAACAAAATTTCCCAAAGTTAGAATGTTATTTGTAGAGGAGCTGAGAATCTCAGTTTGCCTTACTTCAACTTGCGGTCTTTCCACAGCTTTGTTGCCCAGATTAAAGTGAAGGAAGGAAGGAGGAAGCCTTTTTTCAAATGTTATTTGAAGATTGGCAAGTTCGTTATTGTTACAGGTGGACCTTTTCTCCAGGTGTTAAATTATCTCCCTTCTTCCTGCTAGAATGTTCTCTGGACTTTCACCTGCTGACTGATTCCAGCTTCACTATTTGCATTTTCCTGTTAAAATGTTACCAGTTTTATATATGGGACTCCAATTCCATTTACTTTATATAAACAAAAGATGAGTACTATACACATTTGGAAGAAAGACTTAAAAGTTTTCAAATGGTGTCTGGAAATCTGGTAGAAATTATTGAAAGCATTAGAGAATATGGCCAAGTTGGTTTTCAAGTTTTTGATTAATGTTTTCCAAGGTGTGGTCAGCAAATATCCAAGCATCAGAATCTTTGAGGGTCTTGTAAAAAGGGCATTATGGAATTCTTTTCTCTCAGTATAAAGTACCTGCAATTTCCAAAAGGTCTTTAAGTGATTCTTATATATAAAGTATATGAACCATCACACCTGCAACCCAAAGTGTGGCCCCTCAGACCAGCAGCAATGGCACCACCTGAGTGCTTGTTACAAATGCAGAATCTCGGGTCACTTCCTAGGCATAGCAATCAGAATCTGCATTTTAACACAGCTCTCAGGGGAGAGAGAATTGTACATTCTTTATGTGTACATTAAATTTTGAGGAGCTGGTCTAGAGTGAATTGGTAAAGAAGAGGAAGCACGGACTTTTTTATTGGAGTAAAATGGACATAAAGTAAACTGTATGTATTTGAACTGTGCAATTGGATAACTGTTGCATATGATTTTGTCCATGAAAACATCCTCACAATCAAGAGAGTGAACATATCCATCATCCCCCAAAGTTTATATCTTTATAGTTGCTCCCTCCTGCCACTCCTCTAAACCTCTTGATTCCCAGGCAATCACTGATCAGCTTTCCATCATTATCATTTACATTTCCTAAAATTTTACATAAATGAACTCACACAGTATGTACTCTTTTTTTTCAGTATTTGTTCTTTTGTATCTGGTTTCTTTTACTCAGGGTAAAAATTTTCAGATTTATCCACATTGTTGCACATATTAATAGTTCATTTCTTTTTATTGCTAATTAGTATTTGTTTGGAAAAATCAAATTTGTTTATCCTTTCACCTGTAGATAGACATTTTGGGTTGTTTTTGGTTTGGGCTAATACAAATAAAGGCTCTATAAGCACTTGCTTGTGAGTCTTTTTATGGACATATGATTTCATTTCCTTCAGGTAAATAGCTAGGAATGGAATGGATGGGTCATATGATAGGTGTATGTTTAACTTAAGTGCCAACTTACCTAAGTAACTTTGGAAATAAATGGAGTCTGTAAGACTAAAAAGAATTGCACATAAGCACTGTATTCTGCTTGATAAAGTTATTTCCATGGGTTAATTTACAATTTGGATACTGCCATGCATGTACACTGGAACTGGACAATTAAGCAAATGGATGGTGGATGGTAGGAGCCAAGTTTTTCCACTGTTGAGAAATTTGAGAGTGGAAATTTAGAGATAAGCAAGGGAGGAGGCTAAAATTATCTTTGTGGTAATTGGAGTTGGAGATAGTAGTATAATTCATATTAAACTTAACATAGATACAGATAGTTACATATGAAAATATTGATATGTATATATACCTGAGTTAGCATATACTCAGGAACAATTTGAGCAACAAAATAGTGGATTATAACCCAAAGAATAAATATCCATGAGTCCCCATTTATATAGACTATTAAATAAATAAATAAATGGGAGAGAAGAGAAAAATCTCCTGTGCAAAAGAATTTCAAATAACTTATGCAAATATTCCACCCTCAAGGAGGTGGCTCATAACTCTCCACTCTAAATATGGGCTGCACAGAGTGACTTCGTTCCAGAGACTATAGTATGGGAAAGGTGAGAAAGGAGTAACTTAACAGTGGAGAAACCTGACAAACTACCTCAGTCAGATGAACAGGGCCAATGTCAACCATGATAAGTCATGTCAACAGTATGTATTCTGGATACAGTGTGATAGGAACGACACTTCACCTCTGCGAGATTCCTCTCCAAAACCCCTATCCCTACTATAATCATGAGAAAAATATCAGACAAAGCCCAACTTAGGGACATTCTACAAAATACATGATCAGTACTTCTCAAAGCCTTCAGGGTCATCAAAAACAAAGAAAGTCTGAGAAACTGTCATAGGCAAGAGGAGCCACAGGAGACATGATGACCAAATGTAATGTGGTGTCCTAGATGAGATCCTGGAACAGAAAAAGGATGTTAGTAAAAACTAAGGAAATCTGAATAAAGTATGGACTTCAGTTAATATTTATATTGCTTCGTTCATTGTAATAAATGCACCATACCAATGTAGATGTTAATAGTGGGGAAAATGGGTATGGGGTATATGAGAAATCACTGTACTAACTTTCTGTGCTATAGATCTAAAACTATTCTAAAAAATAAAGTTTATTTTATAAAAGAAATAGAGGGGAAACAGATTTAAAAAGGCATAAGAGATAGCAATTGAATTGAAATGTGTAGACCTTGTTTGGATCCTGATTCAAGCAAACTGTTTTTAAACACATTTATGCAAACAAAACACAAAAAAATAAAATCATTTATAAAAGAATTGGAAATTTGAATACTAATATTTAATGATATCAAGAAATTTATTATGACTTTCTAAGGTAGAATTATAGTTACTTTTAAAATAGAATATTTATATTTTTGAGATAAATACTGAAATATTTGCAGAAGAAATGGTATATCTGGAATTTGCTTCAAAATGACTAAGGCAAGGGGTTAGTGAGGGTATGGTTGAAACAAGTTTAGTCATAAATTGATAGTTTTTGAATATGGGTGATGGTTACAGGGGTCAACCAAACTATTCTGTCTAGTTTTGTAAAAGTTTTAAAAAGTTCATTGCAAAAAAAAAAAATTGAGCAAGAGAGAAATTTGAGCAACTGCAATTCCAAGAGAAACATGTAACACCTTCTGAGGATATCAATCTCCTAGCTCCCTCCTTGATCCGTCTAATATAAGGTTTTTCTGATTTCAAACGCTACTCACCAAGATCACAGTTGCATAGCCACATCCTCAATGCCCAGGGCTGCCTCCAATTTCCACATTTTGTATAAGAGAGACTCAAGAAGTGGCTTGCCAGAGGAAATAGGGCAACCTTTGCCAGCATTCTAAGAAAGATCTGGAAATCTGCATATGCATTATGGGGCTAACAGGAGCAGATACTTGATTAATTAAAGCTCATCCTAGAGTTTTCAATGCCAACATGGCCTTGCAGCTCCATAGAATCTAGTTCACAGGAAGTGCCTTTGTCAAAGGTGACATAAATCCATCTCCAGGCCCTACTGCCAGCAACATATAGAGGTATACTTTTACTGGTAAAGAAAGACGGAGAGACAATGAGAAGGAGAGAGAAAATGAGAGGGAAGGAAAAAAGAAAGAATGAGAGGGAGAGAATACTTTTCCTATTTTCTCCTTGCAGATCAAAGTCAAATGAGTATGAACAAACTAATCATTAGCAAATGGACACCTCCAACAAGTTCGAAGGAATTGTGAAATTTAATTAAGGGCTTAAGTGCAGTGCTCATGTAGTTGCTGACATCATGAAAGTACTAAAAGAAGGCTTTCCCAAATTCTTTTTAAATGTATTGAGATGTAATTTAGATACAGTACAACTCATTTTTTTCATGTACAGCTGTTTTTTAAAGTTTTAATTTCTGGGGGTACATGGTAGGTGTATATATCTATGGAGTACATGAGATATTTTGATACAGATATGCAATGCATAGTAATCACACCAGGGCGAATGGGGAATACATCACCTCAAGCATTTATTCTTTTTTTTACAAAACAATCCAATTATTTTTAAATGTACAATTAATTATTGTCTATAGTCTTTCTGTTGTGCTGTCAAATACTAATTCTTATTC